ACAGGAAGTTGGCACAATAGGGGGCACAGGTGGTGCATCTGCCAGTCATCTCAGTCAACCCATGGCACCTGGGTCTGTCCTGTGACCTACTGTTAGAGGGTCTTCGACAATTCACGTGGCCTCAAAGTGCACATCGCCTGGCACAAGTGTCATGGTAACGTCACCACCACTTAGTGGCGAATGGCGACTTTTTGTTATTGTGAAGAGCAGCGCTCGGCGCTACGAACTTGGTGACCCGAGTTCGATTCCTGCTCACGGCCTCCCCTAACTTCGACTCAGCCTCACATTATTACCCGGTACGGTGTAATGTGTTAACATGGCCACTGGGGAGATAAAGGCGTCCGGGCGTGGTTCTGGCCACCCAACCCTCGTGTGCTGTGTCAGCCTTCATTGGTGCTCGCTTACAGCACTTTCCCCAACAGTCTGTTCAGGCTATACGGGCGATCTTTGTCTTGTGTGAGGCCAAATATGTATGTTTTGGGATTCGTCTTATAATTTGGAGAAGCATGCAATACGTTGAAAGGCGTTCGTCAAGGCTGGACCTATAACGACCTGGACCTCAGTGCAATAAAGGTCACAGAGACCGTGGCGCAGTGCACAAACCACTGCAAAGACAAAGACTCATGTATAGCCTCTATCAGGCTGTTGGGACAAGTGCTGTTAGCAAGAAGTACCGATGAAACCCGGTACGGCACGCGAGGGAGTGGTTGGCCAGCACCACACCCGGCCACCTTTGTCTCTCCAGTGCTGCTGCTTTATACACACATACACCGTACCATCCTACTCATTGGAAGCTGAACTCTGTTCCACCGTGCATTAACAACAGCCGCCATCCGCCATTAAGTGGTGGTGACGTCACCACGGCGCTTGTCACAGGCTAAGTGCACTTTGAGTCGACTTGCAGTGTGGGAGGCTTGCTACTGGTAGGAGTCCCAGGACAGGCCCAGGTGCTATGGGTTGACTGCTGTGCCAGCTGGGTGCAGGAGGAGTTCACGGGACAGACCCAGGAGCGGTGGGTTGACTGAGAGCACTGGCAGAGGCAACGCCTGTGCTCCCCACTGTGTGCGTATTAATTCAAATATTGTACCGTACTTTCCTTCCTCTCCACGTTTATATAATGTTCACCTACCTCCACCAACCCGGTTTGGTCAGCGTGGTGAAGTATGGTCAATTAACCTCCTCTACAACACACTCGTTAACAACAATGCATTGAAAGGACATGTATATAATTGTCGACGTTTCGAGCAATGCCCCTACTTCATAGCAGGTAAACAGATATAGTGGGTACCGAGGGTTTGAGACCAGCGCTGGCTGACACCATGGGGGCCTCGTGACAATCACACAGCACAGTACAGCATTAGAACACGTAATTTGTCAATTGCATGAACGTGAAATTTCGTAAAATCGAACTTTGTAAATAGAGAGATACTTGAACATGAAGCAGGCCACCTCCATAACCTCCTTCCATTCCTCTCTGAAGGCCTCACCTCTTTTTAATAGCCCATCCTCTTGCCATTTTGTTCCGTTCCTTCCCTATATCTCTTGCATGAAGCCACATGTCCTCTGTTCGGGACACTCATTCCTCAGCCCTTGCACTGCCCTTGCCATATAAATCACTTTGTTTTTGTTACAGCTTTTAAATGTTGGAAAGCGTGCCTTGACCAAAGGTGCTCTATAAATATAGAAAAGGATAAGATCCCAGCTATGACCACATCCAGCACCTACATCACACAAATGTACTATCCCCATGTTAACAATAATTAGTAACTATATATGACCACAAACCTATTGAGCAGAAGTTATTTCTGGGCAGTATTCGGGTTACGAACCTAGTTCGTTCCTGAGACCTGTTCGAAATTCGAACGGTTCGTAAGCCGGCAGTTCAGTTTGCAATTACGAGTTCGCATTTTAAATCAATATTTTTCTTTTTTTAAATATATTTCATGGAAGCGGGCGTTCGTAAGTCGGACGCTCGCAAGTCGAGGACTGTCTGTTTACTTTGGGTTAGATGGTTTGAGTATAAAGGCAATATTCAGATATACTCTCCACCATCCGTCAGAGCAAATCAAATCAAGTGGTCACGTGGGAACCAATACCAATTAATTAGTTTTTTTACAATCCGTCTTTGAATCGTTGGTGACCGGGCTGAGGCCATCAGCTAACTATACCGGGAGAGCCCTGCCAGTCACAGGCAGGGTACCACGGTGACTAGGAGATGTTAACTACCTCGCCTGCTATGCCTGTTGTATGCTTTGCCTGTTTGGAGATTGCATGCCTCTTTCTCTTCGTGGTCGCTGGGATTGTTCTCCATATTTGGAATCAAAGTGCGTTTAGAGTATTTGACTGCTGCTACAAATGTACACGTGATTAATGATCCACTTCGTTGAGCTATTATTTGTGGCCAGGTCGCTTATTTAAAAAAGCTGTATATCTTAGTGGACTTTACCTGGTAAAATAAAAATAAAAGTTTAGTTTCAGTAGCCGGGGTTGAACCCAGCTTCTCAATGGTACCAGTCCAGCGCTGATCTTTGAGCAACCTGGCTACCTCTCTAATTGTCGACACGACGACTATGCGATGTGGCATTATTTCAAGCGGTTGGTGCATACGCATTTATTTATTTGGATGTGGCAATGCTAAAGTGAGTGGTGCAGTATTGATTAGCGCGCTAAACTGTGAACCCAGCGATATGTAGATTTGGAGGTTGGTTTACTCCAGATAAGAATGCAAATTACACCAACGACCGAGTTCTAACGGCTGGAAGTCGTGTGGGGCGCTGTTGCGCAATCTGTAGGTGGCAGGCTGTCTCAATCGCCCGGAGGGGTGATTCATTGCAGGGCTGCGCCACTATCTCTATGCAAGCAGTCGAGAATACATGACTGATAACGGCTTGCAAAAGTTCAGTAAACTATATTTGTGCAAAGTAAAAAACAATAGGCTATAAAGTGTATATAATCAGTACGTGCCGTGTTACCACATTGTATGTTAATTTACTTAAATAGCATCGTGCAAATATGTTCTCCTACAAATGAACTCTATTCTCATTGCCATGAACTAAAACGTAATCTTGTCAAGTTTAACAAAAGCTATAAATCGCGACGTTATAAACTAAAAATAACCTTTGGGATTTATTGTCAAGCAGAGGAGTGTAACCTACATTCATCTGGGGGTGATGGGGGAGGAGTGCACGTTTTACCGCTCACCACCAACGCCTTCGTGCTGTTCCACGTTTCAGACACCATGGGACCAGCCCGACAACGCATCCACCAGAAAGACACAGAGCTTAACGTGTGCGTAACCACTATACGCGCCCAGCGAAGCGTGGACCTAAAAGGTTTGGATCGATCGTTAAGCGTTTGGTAAGTGACCTGTTGACCAAGACACTACCGTCCTCAGAAGGTGCAAGGGAATTCACAGTTTTATTTACCAGTTAAACTCAATTGTGCTCTTAGCTCTTGTTCATAGGCGAGCTTGTCACACGTAATGATAGCTGATGATCGCAGTAGCTGATATCACCACACGTGAGAATTTATAACAGCAGTCTAATCATCTGAACCAAGGAACCCGGATAAAAACCCAAGCTCCGACCACCACAGCGAGAGCACACGCCGACTCCAAAAGTGTAACAGAGGCACCGCCAGGGTCCAACATTGAACCCATGACCTCCTGTGTACCGATCGAGGGAGATAACATCTTCTCAGCGGCAAATAGCAGCGAAACATTGCCTTAGCATTAAAATTATGGATTCACATCTCCAATACAATATTTTGGGGAAACTATCTGAACGTGGTGCTCTGGATGGATGACTGCTTCTTCTCTGTCTTGTTTTATTTATCCACACAGTCTCAATGTAACTCTACATCTCTGTAAATAAACCACATTATACATATCAATCTAGCGTCCACGCAACGATCCCCTCCCCCTAGCCCACACACCCCCTCTTTCCCCCCCCTTGCCCCGCCCCCCTTTCTTACCTAGAAACCTCTTACCATGGCATCTCTCTCCCACTTCAGTAGAAAAAACTTCTTGCTGTTGGTTTTCCCACCTGATGATGATTGCTTGTGTTGCAATAGAAACGTCGTGATTTATTTTATTTTATACCTACGTGACTTTACCGAAAGAACCAAAGAGTATTATAAATATCTATAAATATATGTTGGCATATATATCTGACCATCAGTGAACATGAAATAAAACTCGTGTTCATAGCCCTGCACAAGTATCTGAGCCTTAGGACGCTAGTTCGACTCCCACTCATGGCGACCAACAATAGTGGTGATTATCTAAACCGGTTCTGGGCCTCCCCTAGGTCGACTCAGCCTCAAATGATAAAATGGTGCGGTAATGCAGTTTGACTTGGTGCTGGCCACCCACCTTGTGTGCTGTGCCTGCCGTTATTAGGTGCTCACTAACAGCTCCATAAGGCTATTAAAGCGATATGGGGAATCGTTTTCTGTGTTTGGTAGAGAAACCTTTCTAAAAACAAGATTTCCCATGTGGGTCGCTCGACCTCTAAATTAATCAGGCGTAAAAATGTGATTTGATTAACTTCTATGGTTAACGGGACAGTCTATGTGTGGGTGATGTTTACATCCCTGATAGCATGGTTGGCTAAGTGCAGTGCAAAATAAATTGAACATACAAACAACAACAGGACGTTTCCTTCATCTGACCACTGCTACATAGAAGCGACTTCTCTGTCCGTGGCCAGGAGCAGCTTCAAAGCCCCTACATTTACTTTAGCCGATGATATCACAAGTGATGTCCACCGTTGTTGTTCAGCAGCCCTTTTGACTGCATTCCATTGTAATGAGAGGCTGCCCTGCTGCAATTAACACGTCACCACACTTGCGATCTAGAGGTCGATCCTTAGGCCTGGCATTTGGAGCGACGCTGCAAGCTTCTTAAATATAGCTGCCTCTGTCCACCCAGCTGCGTAAATGGATACAGCACAGTTGGTCGATCGGCAGGTCGCATGCGGTGGTGGGGTAAAACATGGGTAACTCCCACCTCTTCCAACAAGGGAAGCATCTTGCAGGGCTGCACCTTTACTGACCGCACCGTCATTGATAAACCACGACGTGCATGGGTCCACGTATGGCATGCGAGTAGGGGTCCACGTGCAGCGTGCGAGGATGCGAGGAGGGGATTCACGTGCAGCGTGCGAGTAGGGGGTCCACGAGCAGCGTGCGAGGAGGGGGTCCACGAGCAGCATGCGAGGAGGGGGTCCACGAGCAGCGTGCGAGGGGGGGGTCCACGAGCAGCGTGCGAGGAGGGGGTCCACGAGCAGCGTGCGAGGAGGGGGTCCACGTTCAGCGTGCATGGAGGGGGGCCACTTGCGGCTTGTGAGGAGGGGGTCCAGGTGCGCCGTGAGTGGAAGGGGTCTATGTGCTGTGTGCGGGGAGGGGACCCACGTGCGGCGTGTGAGGAGGGGGTCCAGGGATCTGTTAGACAATCTCTCTAAGACGGCGCTGCTGAGCGTCATCGTCGTCTCCATCGTTGACGAATGCTTTGTTGTCTCGACCAACAGCACCCCTCTTTGACTGCTGGCCCGACGACGACGACTCCACGTAGGAGAGCACGTGCAGCAGCGTGAACAACCTGAACGGGGGCAGAGGGGGGGCACGGAGGGGAAGGGGGAGGGGCACGGGGCGCCACGGTGGCAAAATGTCAGGAGGTAACGGGACAGACCTAGGAGCCAATGGTTGACTGACTGAGATGACTGACAATGCACCAGCTGTGACCCCTACTGTGCCAAATTGTTGTGTTTAGCTGCCCGGTGCTCTGCTTATGGATGCGAGCATCGCTCCTCTGCCCTCCATTATTGCTGGTGGGCGACTGCCTCCAACTGCCAAGTAGCATCTCCTAAGGAGTGGCCGATCTTGAGACCGCTGGTACCAGTTATTGGCAAGTCCACTCATCTCTATATATCCTCTTGTACCATATCATTCCTTTTTTTCCCTAGCCCATGCCGTGCCCTTTTAGTCTGATCTATCCTGCCAAATAATAGCTGCTTTGCCATGCAGTGGCTGGGCATGGGGGCTACATGACCCAGCCAACACAGCCACGCTTGTGAGAGGAGCTCACCAATGGGAATGTGTCTAGATCTTTTAAGAATCTGTGAGCTCCTGATACAATCGAGTCTGGTTAAACCCAGGATGCATTGTAGGCAGGGTGACCTGAATGTTTCTAACCGGTGCAGATGTTACTTTAGAAACCTATGAAGGCCGGTACGGCACAAGGGGGGAGGTCCAGGACCATTTCAGATAATCGTTACTGTTGTTGGTCACTGAGTCGGCATGCCCACACACCCCCTATGGCCACGCATGGGTCGACCCCCTCCCCTCCTCCTCACCTGTGGTACAGCATGGCCAGGAACTGGACAATGAGCATGCTGGAGAAGGTGATGAGGAACATGAAGGCGAGGGGCAGCACGTCGATGACCGTCCCCTCGTTCTTCGTGCTCGGGATCTGGATGTAGAGGTCGGCTCCCACGAACTGCAGTGCCAGGGTCGCCACCAGCCACAGTGCATTGATCATGAAGTAGACGAAAGTGCCCTGCACATTGGGACAGACAGACCAGGCCTGATTTACATTGCATTGGCCGAGTGGCGGGGGGGATGACCCCGGGCTGTTTATGGATCCCCTCTTTGTGCGTTCATTTTCCTCCCCCACTGTCCACTCTCGACGCCAAATGGTCACTTCTGTTGTTATTGTTTTATTGTTCATGTATTTTACAGGATTAGCGGATTTTTGGAGCAATTAACAATTAATTCGTAGGAATAATAAGGCATAGGTAATTTAATGCCGTTTAAATCTTCTTCTACCACATGCCAAGTACGGTAAGTACTCGCTTAACGCCTGCTGTTTGCACAACGCGTTGTCGCTGGAACGCAATTTTTCTGTTATCGAAGCATCTCCGGTACTCGCGATGACGCGCTGCCAGTACCTTGTTTCTTATTTCGAAGAGTTCCTAGTTCACGCGTTTCCTGTGATCGTCATCTTCCTCCAGAGGCTTGAGGTAGTCACTGATCATGCTCTTCCAAAACTCGTCTTCCTCCTATACATTCCCATCCACGGGACAGAAGGTTCACTTTGTGCGATTGTCCAAATAACAACAACTTACTCCGATGAATAATATTAATATTGTAATAGTAATAGGTTTTACCCTTTTAACTGGCACAAAAACTGACACCTTTATTAAAGGCATCATGTTTGCAATAACCACAACACAAGCAATCAAAATGCAAACAAAAGAGACAACTCTGATAATAATATGCACTGTCCTTGAATTTGATTGAATTTGATTGGTCAACAATCAAATTCAAGGACAGTGCATATTATTATCAGAGTTGTCTCTTTTGTTTGCATTTTGATTGCTTGTGTTGTGGTTATTGCAAACATGATGCCTTGAATAAAGGTGTCAGTTTTTGTGCCAGTTAAAAGGGTAAAACCTTTTACTATATCTTGTTACTGGCAAAGGAGGTCTCATAATGTAAAAGCTCACCACGAGCCCTCAATACTCTGATAGTGCGCTGTTTTTGAGTTGTACGCCTTTTGGCGGCTTCTGGTCCAACAACAGTGGAGACTAGGCTCTAAGAAAAGCCGTCTCGGGTGTGGACCAATCAAATTCAAGGACAGTGCATATTATTATCTGAGTTGTCTCTTTTGTTTGCCGTTTGACTGCTTGTGTTGTGGTTATTGCAAATATGATGCCTTGAATAAAGGTTTCAGTTTTTGTGCCAGTTAAAAGGGTAAACCTATCTTGTTACTGGCAAAGGAGGTCTCATAATGAAAATATTAATATTCTTGGTTCTTTCGGTAAAGTCACGTAGAAGGGAAACAATAAAATAATTAAAATATAAAATAATAAAATTCTTACGACATTTCGACTGCAACACAAGCAATCATCATCAGCTGTGAAAACCACAGCAAGAAAATTTGAAAAAAGTGGCGGTTTTATTAACGTTAGCACCACGTAGAGCGATTTTACAGTTTGTTCAGATGGACGAGTCCATCTATGTTCAGAAAAGATGAGGGGGGAGACGAAAATAATGGATGCGGTCTGAAAGCCACCGTAAGCGTGAACAATCAATTAAGACCCGAAATGGTTTATCAAATCCTTCCAATGATTGCTAAGCCAGAATCCATCTTCTCGGTTGAAATTGTCTCTGTGTTTGTATATGTGGATAGCCTCATGAACGAATCTCTCATGGTAGCCAGATGGCTTGCAAAGAACCTCTGTCTTGGAGAAGTCAATGTCATGTGAGCCTACTGAATTATAACAGTGATCTGCCACGGCCGAGGTATTGGTCCTACCGTGTTTTAGGTCTGCTTTGTGTTCACGAATGTCGTTTGGTTTCTCTAATGTAACTACTACCACAGATAATTTTGTTGTTTTATATTTTTATTATTTTATTGTTTCCCTTCTACGTGACTTTACCGAAAGAACCAAGAATATGAATCCCTGCAGTCACGAAGGCTTTAAATCAAAATTAATATTAATGGTAATTTGTAATGCCCGATCACTGCACAGTTATTTGCTCGCTTTCGACGAGAGACATAGGGAGGGATTCAGAGACACGAGGAGGAATCACATATAGATGGGAAGGCAGCAGCAATGCACACCATGAGACAGTGCTACCAACAATTGCCCAAGCTCTGCAGTCCTCTGCATATAAATGTGTTCTCGGCCAATTAATGATTGTTCACATGTGGCAGAAAACCGGAGCAACCGGAGAAAATGCACGCGTGTGAGGGGGCAACATTATATCCTATACAGACGGAACAGGTGGATTCTACATTTGCTGTACCACCCGCTCCTGGCAAGCCAGGGTGCGGCTCCTTTCTGACGCCCACTGGAACTGAAATTCACGGCATCTTCTCAGTGTGTGATCCACCAACCACGTGTAGCACCAGCGTAGCCACCACCACCTCCAAGAATCATGACATCACTTCCTGTCCACTGTCCAGAATTGTTATCCAAATTGCACTGTCCTTGCACGAGATAAAAACTGCGAGTGGAACTCTCCCAGAACAATGCAGTGCTAAGGTACCTTTTTTTCAAAGTCTCAAAGCCACACATTAGAGGAACGCGCCACTTGTTTGATCGTCACAGAAAACGACACTCAGTCAACTGACGGCAATATTTGGACATCTGGCCAATGCGTTGAACAATTAAGCGAGACAGGCAGCCGGGGGAGGGGAATGATGACTTCTAAATTAATTGAGTTGCTTAGTACAAGAACCCCAACATTAATGTAAAATCTTAAACGTAAACATCTCGATATTATTTTGATAGATTTATTTATTTCAGTAGGAAGGGCCTAATTAGCTGCCAGGCAGTTTCCCGATATATTTTCTTCATTAAAGTTGGTTGTTATCTTCTGGGCACTTATACACGAACTAGGACAAAGATCAAAGATCCTCCGTGTAGTCTTAACAGACTGCTGGGGCACGTGCTGTTAGCGACCACCTCTGAAGGCCAGCACGGCACACGAGGAGGTGGGTGGCCAGCACCACGTCCGGCCACCTTTGTCTCTTCAATTTGGGATATTTATACACTACACCAGGTACTCATTTGAGGCTGAGTCGACCTAGGAGAGACATAGGACCGGTTCAGATAATCGTCACTGGTGTTGGTGACTGAGCGGGAATCGAACTCAGGTCGCTCGTTTCTAAGCGCAGTGTGTTAACCACTGCGCCACCACTCCCCACAACGTATATGTAGCACACGTACAAAGACCGACACAGACATAAAAACACACAGACATAAAGACACACAGACACAAGGACGCACCTGATCGAGGCTGCACCTCTGCGTGATGGCGTAACCCTGAGGCAGGACGTTCTCAAACATGACCTGCATCTTCTGGTGGCGCTGCCACACGAGGTCATGGCGCCCTGCAAGGGACAAAGGAGGATAGCGATGTGCGGTGCACTCCCACAGAGGCTCGGGAAAAAAAGTTTACCGTGACTCAGCGAAGAGAGCTGCGCAGACGGTAGTGATTATTCTCATCGTTAGGCTGGTTTAGCCTGCAACAAAGCCTGGCTGAGTCGCAAGGCTCTGTGTTCATGAGGGTCTTACCAAGTTACCGTAGTAGAGGGGTGATGTTGCTGCTGAGTGCGGTCCAAATTAAGTGATTTGCAGTTATCTTTTTCAGAAGTGTAAAATTTTGGCCATTACCAATGACACATCGGAGGAAACTGGAGAAAAAGATGCCCATGCAGAACAGGGGGAGAGAATTCCTCAATCTCCCACAGTTCTACTGCAGCAGCAGCAACATGCCCTCATTACAGAGTGCTTGCCACAAATGAATCACAATAGCTTGCTAATCTCGTCTAGGAGCATTAACCATCACCCACACTTCGTTCATCCATTCATCAAACAAAGACGGTCACCGCATCGCGTGATTTCAGATGCGCGGTCTTGTTTAACTGACAAGCAATGACTTCGCATTTAATTTTCGATTTAAAGCTTTCGTGACTGCAGGGATTCATCTTCTTGGTTCTTTCGGTAAAGTCACGTAGAATGGAAATAAAATAATACAAATAAAACATAATAAAATAAAATTCTCACGACGTTTCGGCCACAACTCAAGTAGCCTTCTTCAGGTGAAGGAACAGAACTGTCGGGACGACAGCGCTTCAATGAACGCTGCTAAGATTCGCAGCGTCTTTTAAGCTAGGTGGGAGAAGTAAAGCGCCTTGACAAAGGTGTTTACATATCAAACAGGATAATTTAGCATTGAAATAGCGGTGTTAAAGTGTTGGATCAGCAGGGTGTTAAAGTCAGAAATTAGCTTGTAACTGGGAGATTAGCATGATGTTAATGTGAGGGATTAGCATGTGACTGGTCACGGAAATAGCTAT